TTTTTAGGCCTCATTTCGATAAATTACTCGCTATTTAAGGTCTAAGGAAGACCTGATTTCTATTTATGTTGAGAGGATGTAGAATGAGGACGTTGCTCAAAGTGGAGTGGGAGGGACGACGACTTTTTGAGTCTCGATGTGAATTTTAAACCTTGTTGCCCCGGTCCCACCGTTCGTATCTTCCATTTAAAGTTAATACAAGACAAATGAGAAGAAATGGGTTCAACAACACTTAAATTTGTGGTGTCAAAGGTGCTAAAGCTGCCATAGGTGGGAGGAGGAAACCTTCAGAGGAGTGTTGGAATACAAAATGTGAAATACATGCTACTCACAAAAGAAAATGTGTGTGTGTGTGTATGTGCATCTTTCCCGAGTTTACGAAATGTAGAGCTTAAAATTAGCCCATGAAACGCTTTGCAAAGCCCTGGCAAGAGGAAGACTTTGACAGTCAGAGAAACTTTGACGAAAAATTTAAATAATTTGCTGGAGTTTTGGTAGTATCAAGATGGTTAGACAAAGTGGCGGTTCGGACGGAACATCCGCAAGTAAATTAAACTGACAGTTCAGTCCTCTTGTTAAAGTCTCCCATTTTATGGAAAGAGAGATCAAAATTATATTAAAACGAGTATACCAAAAGGAAAAAAGGCAAGCAAAAGAAATAACTTTATTTGTGCGCCATCTTTAGGTGAGTTTCAATCACTGCTTTGTTTTAAACAAAAAAGTAATAAACGTGAGGGCCCATTTAAAGATGACATTAGGGAGGTCACGTCAGCTCCTCATTTGGATCAGTGGAATGTAAATTTAAGACAGACATTCTTTTTAATATTCAGACACATTCTACCCACCGACAATCATTGAGCAGCAAGAGCGGGTGGAGGTGCGATCAGGAAAGGGCGCGAATTTGTCATGCACAGCGACTGGCAATCCCAAGCCCCAGGTGCGATGGCTTACAGATCAGGAGAAACCACTCACCGAGGCCGTGGAATGGAAGGCCATTCTCTTCCTCACCGACGTCACTGAACCGCGAGTCTACATATGTGTAGCCAACAACAGCCTCGGACGCATACAGCACCTCGTCAGAGTTGAAATAATTGGTAAAATAAACTAATTAAAAGAGCGACTTTTTACAAATCTTTAATGTCCCTAACTTACGGAGGAAGTTAGTTTTGTTTTTATTTAAAATTCAGCTTATGAAATTAGGACTCTCAATCAGAAAAGTTATGCAAATTTGGACATGTAGGAAATGATGTTAAAATCCAAACTGCTAGGATTTGGCAGTAACAAAAACAATTACGTCCAATTTTTCAGCCGTTATCATTGTCACGCCTGCGCAGGTGACACTGCCTGACATTCTCCCAAATTCCAAATGGGGCTGTAATTGAAGCGAATGTTGACATAAGGATTGACTTGCCATTGTGTGCTTGTGTGTGTGAGTGTGTGCATGAAGTACATTTTGGATGTAACTTCCTTTTTTGACACCTGCATTCAGCGGAGCCTCAACGACTAATGTCCTGCCTCTACAGATGTGCCGCGTGCACCAGCCGATCTTCAGTGTTTGGAGCGCGGTCCAACCTATGCAAGTTTGCGCTGGTTTCCCGGTCGGTCGGGCGATGAGACACAGCCTGACGCCTCACGTAGCCTCCCTGTGCCCATCACTTCGTACACTCTCATTGTCACCGACCTCGATGCAGACAACGGACGGCAGGCGTTAAAACGGAAGTTGACAGACATCGCACCGTGGAAAGTGCAACTTGATGGTTCAATTCATCTTAAGGTCACTGATCTCAAGCCAGATCATCGGTACACTGCAGAGGTCTACGCGCTGAGCACTAAATTTGGCATCTCAGATGCAAGCAATCAAATCACATTCAAAACTTTGGAGATGCGTAGGTTAACACAGTTGACGTGTGTTGTGGATTGTTGCGGAGACTCTGAGTGTGTTCACTGTTGGATGAATTATCTGCTCAACATTAACTGGATTACATAGGAGTTTGCAATAATGGCATATGATTAAGGACAAGTTCATTTGATTAGCTGCATTGCTGTGTTGGTAAAGCTCAATCCCTTACTAATAGCCTCTGTTTATCTCCCTTAGGGAAGAAAACCTGATAAATGGAAAATAGTATTGAAACGTCCCACTTAAGTTAATGGGATAAAAGGTTATGCATATTTGATTCTATCCAAGGTAAAAAGCAAATACACGATTAAAATCAAATCCCTCATCAGACATTGATTAAATGTTCTCTATTTTTACTCATGAACGGCAGAAGCTGATGATGAAGTCACATTAAACTTTAGCTCCAAGTGGACCACCTTTGTCCATACATGCAACTGCAACGTCCTCTGATTCCATCAGCATCAGCTGGAAACCGCCTGCCGAACCCAATGGAAAAATTATTGTAAGGCAGAGTTTTCCTTTTTGACCATCTTCATGCAATAAATATTAGGCAGTCCAGGACTGCACATTTAAGCCAAAATAAAGCATGTTGGCTCATTTCTTCCGTTATAGCGAGTGTATCAACATTATTCAATCTCTTCCATTTCGACGATTTCATTAGTGCTGCTCATTTAAATGTCTTTGCTTTTTTGCATAAGAAACGCTATAAAGTTTCAAATGAATTATTATCCTGTCTGTTAAGTGACCATAAAGTTTAAATAGCATATCCTCATTGATCCATTATTTTTGTTTAAGTGATTCATCAATTAGTTTGGAAGGACACATGCGATTTCACCCTTTATTACAACCTTGCTGTACTGCGGACGCATGCATGTCAATTTTTATGCCAAAGTAATTTACTTCTTTAGTTTATGGCATTGACGTAAGCTATCTTGCTTCTAGACAGAAGGCATTCTCTTTGCTGATAGTATTTTGAAACGTTGGATCCGGGAATGATTTTCGTCTGCCAACTTGAGAGGGTCTAAACGCGAATTAATAATCTTTCTCCTCGTAGCGTGCAGCATCACGAGGAATCTATTTTCATAAACAATTTTAAGTTGATCGCAATCATCATAAAATACCCTTGGATACGTGAGATGAAGTAAAGAAAGTGATTTTTGAAATGAGGTGTCTGAATTGCCTCGTCCGCTAGGCTCCAAACGAGGTAAAAAATTAAAAAAATTAGTAGGTCAAGAACCTTAATGAGGAGGGAACGCTGAAGCGAGGAGTGTGTAGGTTGTCATTTACAGAATTTTATTTCCTTTCCTCATAGCATTTACATCATGTGGCTTTGCTCAAGACGTGGACGGTTATTTGTTGACATCACTTTGAGACATTAGATTTCAGACAAAGCCTCGGCAGGGGTGTTACGTTTTGTAGACACAAACTACTAATTTTGCCTCATTCAGTGTCTTGATATAAACAATTGTTGTTTTGCTTTACTCAGTGAAAGCCACCCTGAAAGGATAAAATGCCAATGAATATGGACCCAAATTTTCCAAAATTTTTTTCTATCAGACTGTAAATTAGCAGTGATTGGAGTAAAAAAAATTGAGATTTTTTTTCCCCCATAACTCGGCTATTATAAATAAGGGTAGGAAGGGTGGTCGTTATGCAGCACAGACCAAAACAATGGAACTTACAATTATGGACAGAGTGACTGATAAAATCAAGTGTGCATGACACATATTTAGACTTCATGAGTGGACTTGATATAATCTGTGTTTATGACGCATGATAATTATTCTAAATAATGGAAAGCTGACACCTGCAAATTATCGGCATGACAGCTACAACTTCATTAAATAGGACCCTTTTATCACAATACCTGTGTTACAGTAAAAGTCACTTTCCAGGTAAGTAAATTGTTCTTCCAATTGCCCAGTTTGTATCAAGAGTTAACTTTTAAACAATCCAGTCATGAAAATGTGTATTTGGTGGGTAACTTTTGCTTCTACAATGCTAGACATAACATCGCATTTGGCAGTCCTTCAACTTCACTTATATGGCTTGCCTACATACATGTAGTATGAAAAACAATAGAGCTGCTCGTTCTCATGGCAACATTATGATGCTTTTTTTCTTTAAGTATTTTGCCAGCCCTATAAGGTGAGGCGTATTGTGAGAGCATGAACTGTAATTAAGGCTACATTTCCGATCTTTGGGCGGTGTGTGTACACGAAACATTCCACGATTTGTCGTGCTTGCCATCCGCGGAGCGGGGGAGAGGGCAAAAAAAATTTTTTTTTTTTTCATCCAGTAGAAGGTGCTCCAACCCACCTCCACTTGACATATAGTTTTGTAGTTTTTTTTAAAAGAAAAAAAAATAAAACAAGAGATTAGCTAAAGAAGATGGATGTATTGCTGTGTCATTTCATTGTTTTGATAGCCTTTTCTGTTGTGTCGTTTGTGTGAATATGTGGATTGAATGAGAGTAATTTAAAATGCTGCATTAACTTGGAGGTGGAGTGGACGGTGGATGTGGAGGATGCGTTATTATACTTTCTACTTTATGATTGTAACACGTTAGTAATGGACTATGTAACAATCGGCTTTAGTGAGGAGACACCACATCTGGTACACATTTATTCCAGGCCCTTCTTTGAAGTATATAGTGGACGACAAGACAGTTCACACCCCAAGAGTTAAATATTTAATGCAGTGGCTTGAAAAATTTCCCTATAGTAGAGGGAAAAAAAAGAAACGGGAAGGAGTGGAGTTGTGGCAGGTTGAATGGACCAAAGTAAAGTTTAAATTGTCTTTTGGTTAGGGCTATAAAGTGTACTATTCTACACAC